GCTACAGCACGAGACATCAGGTAGAGAAACACCCGGAAATCCACAACACTGTGGCCATTCCCCAAAGCGAGACGCGCACGGCTTGTTAAGCCACAAGTTAAACTCAGGAAACAGCCACTGTGTTCCACAATCTAACTGGGTTAATCATTATTCAATACCGGGGATCAATCCACCGCATACCGGGCACAGACAGGGGTGTGACAATACGAGCAGGCAACCTGCAGCTAGCAGAAGATAACGTTAGGTGTCTCAACACACACCAAACATTTCCCTCCTAACAGACATGACACATCAAAACCAAAGGGAACATGTAGCTGCTTCGTGTCACGTTTACCGGGGGTTTTATTATCATGCATATGCGTCCACTCATGGCAGTCTCCGATCTGTTATGGAGGGTTCAGTGCCCATGTCTACCAACAATAACACGGCCTCCCGACACAAGCTTAGCCCGGGCGAACCGGTGACCAAACACGGGCTCCTAACAATGTTTAAAACCGCGGCAGTGGTGCCTGAATATCGCCATCTTGTTATTAATACACACCCGGGGGTCTGTACCTGCCTGCCGAACCCGCAGCCCCACAGGTCCCCGTGACGCGGATGCTAACAAAGGCCCGAGAGCTGTCTGGAGCGGAAGACCGACACAACGGGAGGAAGGAGGCAGGCAGCAGAAAGGGAGGCAGCCGCTGCTGCCGCGCAAAATACTCCTGTTTATCCGCCCCCAGAGCCGCCATTGCGATAATACCCGCACCGATGCATGAATAAATAATATCCCGTGCCACCGCGACCGGGGAAGGGGTGATACTCACCGGCGGAGAGGGTGGATGGACGCGGATTTCGGCCCCAGTTTCTCTCTGACACCCCAGGCTTTCACTCCGACAACATGGCGGCTCGACGGAGGAGCAGGCAAGAGCGCTGCATGACGGGAAGGGATGAGAGAGAGCGTGCGGTTCATTGCGCCAACCGGGAGGGGAGGGTCATACCGGACCGGTCCCTTTGTTATGTGTTTGTAGCCTGTGTGTATTATGGGGTGTATTTATAACGCATTTTATTCTGCGTTCATTCACATTATTTGTCAGTGGAGTAAAAATAGATTTTTAAATTAGACATTTCCTGTACAGCCGTTTGTGTTGCTGAAAAGGAGGACGTCACTAAAATAAACTACACAGATATATAACATATAAATTATATCCCACCATAGGACGTGGGTGGTACTTACAGTAGAAGGCTGTTAAACAAAATGTGGTTATCTGCTGTAATATGGACACATATACGGTGTTTTCGTCGGGGGTGGACTGTACACAATGTACCGGGGTCTCTAAGGTAACGGGGTGCTTGGCAGCCATGGCAACGTGCTGCGCCACACTGTCAGCGAGTGTGCGGTTGCTGGACGCTCCGGTACACCTCCGGAATGTAAGTGGATGGTGTGAGAAGGGGAGCGTGTGGCCCAAATAACAAAAATATCCTCTTGGTTTTTTGGTAAGGCGCCAGTGGCGACCCCGGGGCTGCAGACTGAAGGATAGACTGTCCCAAACCGGCGTGTGGGTGACGTAATGCAACTAGATTATGGCAGCCCTGTAAGGAAAGCTATGGTAATCATATGGAAATTTTTAGGAGAGGCTGCTGAACATCCCTGTGTGGTCCAGTCATACAAGATAAAATAGGCATAAGTGTATAGCTATAAAGTTACAGTCATATACATTTTATTTGTCTGCCCCTTTGCACCCCAAGCACAACTGCATTGTTTAAAACAATCAGTCCCAAATCTGCATCATCAAACTTTCACAAGCACCAGTTTGTCTTTTGTATGAATGAACTTTATTGTATAAATTATAGGCCTACAACACTTATTCAAGGAGATATGAGAAGAATAAATAAAAGTATCAATCACTCATTAATCAAGTAATAAAAACACATGTATACAAACATATTAAGAATATTAAAACAGATAGCTGCTAGTTATAGAATATGTTAAAAAAGATATGTTTTGAGTCATCGTTTAAAACTGTCCACTGAGCCAGCAAGTCTAATATTTAAAGGCAGGGTGTTCTATACTTTTGGGGTGTAAGAGCGAAAAGACTTAAAGGGATAGATAAAAGAGAAGCTGCGGGGGATCTCAGGGTTTATGGAGGGACATAAGGTGATAGGGAGGGAGTGATGCCATTAAGAGCCTTGAAAACCAAAAGAAGGATTTTAACATCAATTCTGAAAGACACTGGGGGCCAGTGTAGGTTATGTAGAACAGGATTTTGTAGCACTCATTGTAAAGCTCCATAGTACAGGCAGGAAGTCCAAAAATGCAACCGAGGCACTCTGTCTGTATTTAAAAATTCTTAGAGAGTCTTCATCAGTGTGTAAAATGCACTGGAAACAGGTGTGCAATTTAGAAGCTCATGTGGGGGTCATAGTAGTCATAGCATGATAATTAACAGGAGGATTGGACAGTAAGGATAAAGTTAAACCTAAATGCTCAAAGGCAGGACACACAAAGGATCACCCCCAGTAACATATACAGGTGCATCTAAAAAGAATTAGAGTATAGTGAATTTAACTCAAAGTTTCATAAAGTTTCATATATTCTGGATTCATTAAACATAAAGTGAAATATTTCAGCCTTTTTTGTTTTAATTTTGATCATTACAACTCACAACTCATGAAAATCAAAAATCCAGAACCTCAAAATATTAGAATTATTAGAATATTACATAAGACCAATCATAAAAAGAATTCATAATACAGAAATGTCAACCCTTCTGAAAACTATGTTAATTTATGCACTCAGTACTTGGTGGGGGCTCCTTTTGCTCGACTCGACGCATTGATGCCACAGTGCATCAATGCACTGTGGCATGGGGGGAATAACCTGTGGCACTGCTGAGGTGTTATGGACGCTCAGGTTGCTTTGATAGCAGCCTTCAGGTCACCTGTATTGTTGGGTCTGGTGTCTCTCTTGACAATATCCCATAGATTCCCGATGGGGTTCTGGACAATCAAGCACAGCAAACCAGTTACGAGTAGTTTTGGTGCTATGGGCAGGTGCCAAGTCTTGCTGGAAAAGGAAATCAGTATCCCCATGAAGCTTGTCAGCAGATGGAAGCATGGTAGACGGACCAACACCAGCAGATGACATGGCACCACAAATCATCACTGACTGTGGAAACTTCACACTGGACTTCAAGCAACATGGATTCTGTCTCTTCATTCTTCCTCTAGACTCTAGGACCTTGATTTCTAAATTCATTCGTTCATTTTCCACAACCGCTTATCCTCTTGAGGGTCACAGGGGCTTTGAGAAGGGGGCTACACCCTGGACAGGTCACCAGACTATCACAGGGCTGACACATAGAGACAGACAACCATTCACACTCACATTCACACCTACGGACAATTTAGAGTCACCAATTAACCTGCATGTCTTTGGACTGTGGGAGGAACCTGGAGTACCTGGAGAAAACCCACGCTGACATGGGGAGAACATGCAAACTCTGCACAGAAGGGCTCCTTCCTGGGATTGAACCAGGAACCCTCCTGCTGTGAGGAGACAGTGCTAACCATATATGCTGCCCATAAACATGTCATTAGTAATATTGTACACTTAAAAGAGAGTCTATAAAAACACTCATGTGTTCAAACTCACTAATACTAGTTCAAAAACACGACAACAACACTGAGAGGAAGGTATGATGTAAGAAAAACCATAATAAATCACCCTCAATGATACATGTCCAAAAAACATGACAGACGAGCAATAAAAACAAGTTATTATACACTCAGTTTTATGCACATTATGAGTTTGTTGTCCATTCACACGTTGTTTTTTGTCCTTGTCCCATATCTTATATTTTTCACTTTGTGCCACTTTATGTGCAGGTTTGTCACAATAAATAACAGTTCTTACTTTATTTCACTGTTGTTTCCTTTTTATTTATTTGGCATTGAACCTTTTTCTTGTTACTGAATATGTTAATCATTTAAATTATACATTTATGTCATTTTCATTTGCAGTTCCTGTCAATGTTGCTGTCAGTGTCACATAACCCTCACACGAGCTTTTAAATTCCACACCTGTTCCCAATGCATTTTAAACCCTGGTGAAGACTCTCTAGTTGAAACATGTTGGTTATACATGTGCTACATTTAAACTTTTACAGTGAGGAAACTTGGATTATTCTGCACGATTTGTGTAGGGATTTCCAACTGATGTTTTGATATAGTTTAGCAGTTATTAAACACAGACTCTTGACTTTAATTCATCAATGATTTTCTCATTTTTTTGGATTTTTTGTTCACTGTGGAGGCTTTCTTCAGTTTTCTTCATAAATTCAGTGTAACACAGGGTGAGTAACTGATATACAAAGGGTCATTTGGGTGATGAAGTATTCCTTTAATATTGAAATGTGTTATGTTTGTTGTGATTTTTATTTCCCCCACTGGCAGAAAAAGATCCTAAAAACTAAATATAGCAAATTCTACTTTAATTATTACTGAGTGAATCCAAATTAAATATTAATACACTATAACATTTACATATGAAATAATAGCTACATCTTTACACTCATTAACAGTAGCACAGTTTATAAGTGCCACAGTGCTATTTTTGTCATAGTTGATAAGCTTTCTATGAAATTATTTTGACAACCAAATCATTGCCATACCAATACCATTCAATCTAACCCACAGGGTCACAGTGAGCTCACTCTTTTGCACTGCACACATGACATAAATTCCTTTTGGATATCATAGGGTTAGTTTTGTGATATCGGGCTGTCTTTCTGTAAAATGCATCACATTATTTTGACAAATCACATCCTCACATCAGCTCACCAGAGTGTGTTTTCTGTGTAATCTTTCAAACTAATCCAGCAAAAATGTAATTCAGTGCCCCCTAATCCAGATATTAATGTAATGTAATCAAACCTGGGAATCAAAGCATTCATTTTATTAAACCTTTAGTCACACTCAGCAAGACAAATGTGCATCCACAGATGACAACATGAGTCATATTTAATGTAGAAAGTGTATTTTTATTATTTCAAACTTCACCTTACACCCAATAAGGTCTTTACCTCATATCTGTCTCCTTTCTTCCCTCTTTATGTCTTCACTTGTATCTACAAAAACTACCGATCATGACACATTTTCACCTCAGGTCTCCTTTATCGCCATGCTCCGGTGTAAATCAGCGGTTGTGCTGTGGAGGGGAATGTAGTCATTGAGAAGGATGATAAGGAGAATTAGCTGCGGATGGGTTAAAGGAGGGCAGCATGACGATATCCAAAAAGAGAGAACAAGAGAAACAGGTATGAAGAAAAACTTTGATGTGTACCCTTTTTCCCCCAAACCCTTCCCACCCCCTACTGCAACCCCCCTTTTCTAAATGGAACCAACAAAACAATCATTGGCTGGTTATTTACATGCACAGTATCCCCACTGACCCCCCACCCCTCCCCCATAGACACACTAATGCCTGATCCCAAAGCCATCTGCATCCCTAATAAACAGCATTACATGTACAGAAGGCTGAATTTATTCTCCTGAAAACACAACATCCTGTCGATGGACATTTACTGAGAACTTCAAAGGATAAGTTTGGCAATATTCTATATATATATTAAAAGACCAAAACCAACAATGAATCACTCCTAACATGTTTTTTCCTCTGCGAAATCCAATGTTGCCCAGACTGTTAAAAAAACATCAGTGTTCCTTTATTCTGATAAAGCTGGCCACTGTAGTTATTTTGAGAGGAGTCTATGTACACCGTCCTACTGCTGTAAATACTCGCTACTGCAGCTATTTACTGCTGTTCAGTGACATTTGCTATAATCTACAGTGCCCAGCTGTTTTTAGCCTTTTTTAAATATGGCATACATTATGTCTGTGACTCTTAATGTTTGTTTGTGTTTGTTTTTTTAAGATTTATGCCTCCAGGAATGAATGGGCTGTGGCCGGAGACACAAGCAAGCTGGGGAAGTTGTTAAGTAATACAAGACAGATGAACCCATTGTAGGTTTTAGTCAACAGTACAATGTAAAAAATATTGCCAGCCTGATCCCTTAAAGGAATACTTCACCCACAAAATGATCATTTATATATCAGTTACACCATGGAAAGATCGCACTACAGGGTCGCTATGAAGTCCCTTCTTAATGCCGCCTTTGTATTTTTACACAGAATCAAATAACGACAACATCATGATGCTCCAGTGTGATTTTAAACAGCACGCCAGCATCGCAAGACAGGTATAATGGGCGTGACTTCTAGCACATCAGTGTCAGTCTCTAGTGACGTATAACACGTGTCGCTAGTGCTTAATAAACAATAACAGTGGCATAACATGGCAATAACTATCAGTTACTGTCCCTGTTATATGGCAGCTGAGCTCATCCTCTGCTCGGAGGGTAAGGAGCTCCTGGACCTCATTGTTTTCCGAATTTGCAGAGACTTTCTGCCGCTGTTCTTTTTTGAGGTAGCTGCTAACTGCAGCTAGCTGCTTTTTAAATCTCCTGCACACGCATTACACGTCATCAAAACCTTACACTTGTTCAAGCTATGGTCCCGTCCTGCTGGCTGTCCCTTTTATACAGACGTCCTTTCAGCACTGTTACTACCTCCGCTGCCGACTCTGTACCCCCATATCACCACTGTACCTTTTATACAGAAGAGCGAGGTGGCGTAACAACTTGAAATTCCCACCTTAAAGAGGCAGTGTACAATGGGCTTCTCTTTTTCTGGCATGCCTCCACGATGAATGAAGAATAAAAAAATTGCGCAAATTTTTGATGAACTTGATCAAATGGGAGCTGAATGAGTAGCACACCTTGGCAAGCGTGTGCGTTTTAACTCTGCTCGTGCATTTCATTGAGACTGATTTGCCCAGGCGTGCTACTTGTCGGTGTGTGAGACCGTTTATGCGTAAGATTTTTATTGAAAATGCTTGTGTTTAGGAAGTACTGAGCATATGACTAGATAAATGAGACTTGGAATATACTGCATGAGTTGTGTGAGAGTTTGTAAAAGGATGTGTTGATATAGTTTTGCTGTAGATAAACGCAGCCCCCTTTTATTCCACTTCATCAAGAATTTCCTCAGTTTTTTGGATTCTTTGTTTACCCTGGACACATGAAAGAAATTCAACCCAACACTGGGTGAGTAACTGGTATACAAATGATCATTCTGTGGGTGAAGCATTCCTTAAAGCAGTCCATCCTTTCTGCTCCACCAGCTCTGTGTTACTGCCTCAGCAGGTCAGCTCTGTACTGTAAAAACCTTGAAAGTCCCCAGTGGTTTTAACGGCATGGGAGGAAGGAAAGATGGCTTTGGGAGTGGGAATCATAAGACTGCTCTAGTTCGACATCACCACATTCTAAAACGACAACAGGTACGAGCCGTGCCTCTTTTTATTATGTGACCCCACCCACATCCCCGATCCCCACCCCCCACACACACACAAGCACCCAAAAAAAAAAAAAAGAAAAATCACAGGGACACCGAGTGGTAAGAGTCCAGGGTGCAACCACAAAGCACCAGCTAGTCCTGTGGAGTTACACAATCACACACACACATACACACACTTGTAGGAGTGTTGAGAGCTGGCAGTTTAGTGAAGTGCGTCTCCGGTGATTTGACAGAGGTGTCCCCAGCTCTTGTTCTCTGCAGCTCTTCTCCCCTGCCTCCTCTTCCTCATCCTCCTTCATCTCATCACACCACCTGGCATGCTGGCTCTTCCCTGAGCTCTGTACATTCTATTCAGGGCTGTATTTCTCTCTCTCAGACACAAGCACACATGCACACACGCACAGACGTCTCTCCCTCTGGGTGGGGTAAGTCCATTCCTCCGGTAAACTGTGACACACAGAGTGAGTGTAGTCTAGGCAACCACTGCTTTCCATCCACAGTGACACCGTCAGGGTTTGGCCTGAAGGGGGCGCTACCAACAGTTAACCAGCCCTGGGATGCAGACAGGAGGAGATCAGGGGAACTCACACTGTCAGAAATAGATGTCATGCTGAACTGTACTTTGATAAGATTGCATGAAAGGGACACTCCAATGATTTTACACTTTCAGTTTGATTTACTCGTCATTAAGAAAATAGTTGCATAATGTCTTATGTGAATGTAGAGGGAGCGTTCCAATGTTTGAAAAAACAAAAACATGAAAATGTCATTAGTGGTAATTCTGCTTGGGCTCCAGAATTTCCAGCTAGAATCCTGCATTACATCCACCAGTAATTATTATCGTTTGAGTCACTGTAATGAAATACTTTCTCAAAATAACAAGTTAGTATCTAAAAATAATGAGGAATAATACTGAGTCAGTGTTTTTGAGAAAGCTTCTCATTATTTCTGCACACTGAAGCCCTGTTCACACGGGTCTTGCATTGCATGGGGACCTCATGGAAGGTAAGGTAAAGTAAAGTAAACTGAGGTAAGGTAAGGTAAGTTGAGGTGAGGTAAGGTAAACTTTCTTTCCTTTCTTTGCAGCTTTGTGCTGCATTTAGGGAGGCAAAACCTCCACCCTGATGTTGAGAGTCTGAGACAATACACCCCTCTATTCATACAGATGCTGTAGGTTATTAAAAGTAACACCAGTGATCTTGAAGCACAACCTGACCTCTTTTGCCGACATATTCTTGTTTTTAAAGATAAGATTACCAAACCAACAGACAATGTTAAAAGAAAGAACAGACTCGATAAAAAGCAGAATAGAATAGATGTGATTTGTCAGCGATCTTAATCCCATGCAAAATGCCATGTCCATAATTTGTCAGGTAAAACAATCTCTGCAAATTAGTCCCGTGCAACTCAGTATCTCTGTGATGTGGGGTCATCTTTTTGGTTGTTTGTCTTCTCCATGATTCATTTCTGCCTCTTTCCCAGTTGAGAATTATGATGGCTGCTTTATAAATTAAAATTTTGATTGTTTTTTGGGTACAGGAGCTTCATCTCTCTATAAAGGATGGAGACTCACTCACAGAAAGCGCAAGCTCAAATCCATCAGAATACTAAAATCTTGAAAGATGACAAAATAGATGACATGTGACAAGGAAAAAAATACTAGTTTGATTTCTTTAACCCAGATTTAAAAGAAAAATGGAAGTTAGCACTGTACATCACCACAAGTGATGCTGTGTAGTATTTCTGTGTTGTGTGTTTTGTATAACGTACACATGCTCTGCCCGAAATACAGATGTTGGGGTTTTTTTCTGAACCATATGAGGTCCCCAGGTAATACTAGTCCCATGTGACCAGGGCATAAGTCAGTATTTTGAGATGAGTAAATCATTATTTTAAGATATCAAGTCATTATTTCGGGAATATTCTCATTATTTTGAGATACTGCTCTCATATAATAATGTACAGGATTTTCTTTTTATCACACTGTTGGAAATGGGCATCCATATATCTGGAGGTGTGGGGTTTTAAAGCTGTGGACATTTAGGAAGCTAAATAAAGATGCTGTTGAGTTGCATAGTGAGACACAGTGACCCACACTAGAGACTAAAAGTCACAATATTTCGGCCCCTGCTAAATTGAGTTTGATCTGAGAAGGCCTCAAACTTTTCAGAAGCACTACATTAAATCTCTGGAATATCCCTTTAAAAGGCAAACGTTCAACGTAAGATCAAAAACATGAGAACAAAGTAGAAGAAAATTAGAGAATGTTATATTTGTAACTCACGTGTAAAGAGGCTGCAGCTGCAGATGGGAGGACTTCTGAGGAGGCTGGTAGCCGTACGAGTCAAAGCCACCAATGAAATCAACTTCAAAAGGACAGGAGAGAGAAGAGATGACATCATTCCACTTTCCCTTAAATCTGTATGGTTTTAACCAAGTGTTGTATTTCTGGATCAGATTCTGTTTTGACATGAAAATCTATTAAGGCATCAGATGGTGCTCTTTTCAGTATACCTATACATCACTGCTTCTATGTCACTGATACATCGTTCTAATCTTTCGCAATCGATTCAGAGGAACAAACTTCTGTGGTACCAGCTGAAAAACAAAATCGCCCGATTGTCTGCATGAGTGGAATATAGACCACAGGTTAGAGATCTGTTTCCTCCAGAACCAAATGTTTAAAAAAAATCCAGTATCTGTCAGTATATGTTATTAATGCATCAAAAAACATACTGCATGTCATTGTTATTTCATGATCACCACTATATTATAACATGAATTACAATATAGCATACTGTTCAGACGTCAGAGATGGAAGTCAATCTTATGATGTCATATCCTAACTACAGGACTTAATTTCCCCTGAGTGAGAGCAAAACACTCAGGACAACCACGTGAGGAGAGGAAACATTCACACAGATGGCACACCCTAACCCCACAGACAAGCACCAGGCAGAAGACAGATGGACAGTCTTGACAGTGGGAATTTTCCGGCAGACGTCTCTGAATTACCCCCCACAGATGGACTTCTCAGATCACACAGAGGGAATCCTCTGTGGTGATATTGCTCGGCGTGACTCAGGCAGGAGAAAACAATGAGCGAGCAGAGCTCACATCCAAAGCTGTGGATCGCTAACACAAAAGTATGGAAGCCCATTTCTGCCAGTGTGATGAAAGAAAAGATCCTGTAGGTCATTACAATGAGAAACTTTCTCAAAATGATGACTTACTTATCTCAAAGTTATCTCAAGTTAGTGACTCCAATTAATGAGCTTTCTCAACATAATGAGTAACTTACTGAAAATAATGACTTGGTAATAATGACTTACTTATTACAAAATGATGAGTTTGTGTCTCAAAATAATGAGCTTTCTTAAAATAATGAGAAACTTTCTGAAAATTATGAGTTAGTATCTCAAAACAATGAGAAACTTACTCAAACTAATGACTTGGTATCTCAAAATAATGAAAAACTTACTCAAAATAATGACTTACTTATCTCAAAACAGTGAGTTAGTAACTCAAATTAATGACCTTTCTCGACATAATGACTTTAAAATAACGAGCTTTCTAAAAATAATGAGTTAGTATCTCAAAAATAATGAGAAACTTACTCAAAACAATGAGAAACTTTCACAAAATAATGACTTACTTATCTCAAAACAATGACTTAGTAACTCAAATTAATGATCCTTCTCAACATAATGAGTTAGTATCTCAAAACAATGAGAAAATTCCTGAAAATAATGACTTGGTATCTTAAAATAATGAGAAAAATTCTTGTAATAATGACTTAGTATCTCAACATAAATAAAAACTCTCTGAAAATAATGACTTGGTGTCTTAAAATAATGAGAAAAATTCTTGAAATAATGACTTAGTATCTCAACATAAATAAAAACTCTCTGAAAATAATGACTTGGTGTCTCAAAATAACGAGAAACTTACTCAAAATAATGACTTAGTAACTCACATTAATGAGCTTTCTCAACATAATGACTTGGTATCTCAAAAAAAAAAAACGTTCTTGAAATAATGACTTACTTATTATTAAATGCTGAGTTAATGAGTTTTCTTACAATAATGAGAGACTTTCTCAAAATAGTGCGTTAAAATCTCAAAAAAAAGAGAAACTATCAAAATGAGTTGATATCTTATAGTAATGAGAAACTTTCTTGAGATACTTACCTTAAATTGAGTTAGTATCTAAAAATAATGAGAGTTTATATCTAAAAATAACAAGAAACCTTTTTCAAAATAACGACTTAGTATCGTTTCTCATTATTGTAAAATGTTAACCCATTATTTTGAGATGCTTACTTGTTTTTTTTTGAGATGTGCACGTGATTCTTTTGAGATATTAACTCATAATTTTGGGATACAAAGTCATTATTTTTAGATACTGACTCATTATTTCAAGACAGTTTCTCATTATAATGACTTGCAGGATCTATTTTTATTTTTTTCATCACACTGGCGGAAATGGGCTTCCTGATCGGCTGAGCAACGCGCTGGAAGAGGATCAACAAGCTTTTAGGAGAAGACAAAAGCACTCACAGCTGTCCTCGTCATCCTGGAAGACTTTGCTCACGTAGCAGGCGTACACAAAGCCAAAGAGCTGTTAGAGAGGAGAAATTAGGTGACTGTTATTGTGCAGGCTGAGTCACTGCTGACTTAAGAGCGTCTGTATTTTGTTTCATAGAAAATGCTTCAGCAGAAGGTCGGGGGTCAGCAAACTAAAAAAACAAACTAATGCTTTTTAACAACGGGGATGTGATGATTTCAGTTTCAGCTGTGTGTCTGTGAACGTAACACAAGTGCAGTGTGTGTGTGTTAGATACGTACAGCCAGTAGGATCTGAATGGCCGAACTCAACACCTCTATGTACTGGTAGTCAAGGAGACACCCGGAGACAGTGATGACATGGTGGTCGTCAGGGGCCATGCGGGAGTCTAGCACTGGTGTTACCAGGCAACCGGGACCATGCTCCATCCACCACGAGCGATGAAGGGATGTGTTGAATGTCATGAGAAAGTCTCTGTCCTGAACACACACACACGCACACACACATATATAAAAACAGGGCTTCGACCAATGATGATTCTCAGTGTTGATTCATTGGTCGATTCTGTTTTTGATGAAGCCATCAGTCCATAAAATGTCAGAAGAAGGTGACAAATATCCATCACAATTTCCAAGAGCCGAATTTACAGATATGAAACAGAGAAAAGCAGCAGATCCTCAGATCTGAGAAGCCTGAACCAGAAAATAACGAGGGGGTTAGGGCCCGATTTTAAGAAAAAACATAATTCTGTAAGACAAAATGGACTTATGAAAACAAATTCAAAAAATGGAAAAGGAATACTCACTCTCACACCCTTTATATGTATACCGGGGCTTTTTAAACGTGGGAAAACTTGCTAAAAATAGGCCATAGACTCCTTTCCCACTGACAATAGACCAGAGCTTTCCCAGTGCCAGTACACCAGCGCTACTGGCACTGGGAAAGGCTCTGCAATAGACAAAAATGCCTCGGACATGCTGGAAAACAGGTTAGAAAGCAGCATGGAGGCCAGTGAAAATGTTACAGTGGGTGGTTACCTCCTTTTAAGATCCGTTACTTAAACAGTCTCTGCTTTAAACTCAGTGCAAACTCACTTTAAACAGTATTCGAGCAGTACTTGGACGGAAACAGGTGGAATTTGTTGCATTGCCTCGTTGCATTACGCCAAAAAAGGAGCAAAAGTTAGTGCCTCCATTAGAGCTGGCATGATATAAGATTTTCACTACACAATAGTCGTGGCCAAAGGCTTAGTGTTTGTTGTTTTTATTATTTCTATTGTTATCATTATTATCGTTCTTATCATTATTTTAAGTATTTCTTGATTCCTTTGCTGTATTTATCTGCTTTGTGCTCCTTTCTTAAATGCATATGTGGATTAAGGATACTTTCACATTTATTACTTTCCTCCAATATGCTGTCTGTGATTTACATGTATATGGGATGTTGACTGGTTATTTTTACTCCCTTTGAGGGTACGATGACATAAGACTGGTGTGGACTTGAAAGGACTCAGAACGCTCAGTTGATGTTGTCTTTGTAGCGAAAGCAGGAGCAGTAGAAAGCTGACTGCTGATAACATATGAACTGTGCTGTATTACCTCTGGTGACCTGTCTGTTCAGGAATTTGTCTGTCGTCCCCCCCCCCCCTTTTAGTTGTGTTTTATCAAAATAAAACTATAAAAATAAAGTTTAAAAAATAACTAAATAATCAATAAAATTCATCTTTAACTTTGGCTCTTCTTCAGCAAATAAATTACACTCAAAATACGAGTGTAAGGAGGTGGAGAGAGTCTGTGGCCTTAAAAAAAGCGCACAAAAAGAGCAGTTACACTTAACGGATAGCGATAAGGGCAACCAGATGGTGTTGGTGAAGGGAGACAAAGCAAGAAAGTATTCAAGAGGTGCTGGAATTATTTACAAGAAATGATCATGTATGTATTATTATCATGATATCAATGTTTAATTTAAAAAATCACAGTTATCGTTAATAGCAGTATATCATGACACCCCTAGCGTCCACCCAGGTGTCGTATATCCATCACTGCCGATCGAAGCAGGTCGTAGCTGATAAATACTCATGACTACTGCAGAGGAATTTGCAGACTGTAACCTTTCCCATTAAATACGAAAGCCAGACGCTGGCAGGTATTAGTGTTTTTTGGGCCATGGTAAAGAGGCTTTTGTTGCAAACAGACAGAAGTTTGGGAACCCGAGTGTTAAACATTTCTATTATAAAAATGTAACTCAACTAAGTGATTATCTAAGTAAAAACAGATGAATTGGAGCAAATCTGTTTGAGTTAAGAGCATCATACACAACCTAAGGACACACAGAACTTACGTGAGACAGGTTGCCAACCTCCAGGTAGAAACAGATAATGAAGGAGTTCCATCCCACCCAGAGGACCAGCCATACTGCATACTGCCAAACACACACACACACACACACACATACACACACAGATCAGCTTCTGTATGACAGTGACTGAACACTCATCTGTGTAAAGTCAGCAGCAGCTGTGCATCATATACTCACAAAGATAAGGTATCTGAAGCGAAACTGCACGGTGCCAAACATGCCCAGGATAACGGCCATGATGTGCAGAAAGTTGGCCAGGATGGGAGCCCATTGGTACCCCAGGAAATCAAACACCTGCCTCTGAAGGGCTGCCACCTAGGGGACAGGGGGAGGGGTCATACACTGTACACACATTAGAGGAAAAGACACAAACACACACACATAACTGAGCACATATGCAAATAGAACACACATGTGATCAAGGTCTCACACACACAGGCTGAGGATACACACAGACAGTGACAGGGACACACATACACAGGTCTGCCGCAGTTGTTTCCATGGTAACTGCCTGGAGCACCAGCCAGTCCAGTGACTGTAAAAGAGGAGCACCCCCCAAAAGCTCCCCCAAACTAATGAGAATCTATGGGCCGAATCCCCCGGCCACACAACAACTCATCAGCCCCGCACACAATAGCCTGGATAACTGGCCCTCACGCCGCCTGCATCACTCTCACTACAGGAATAGCTGATACTGTCTCACATTACACACTTATTACATTTTAGAGGGATAGTCTTGAGCTATTCGCAGGCTCAAGAAATGGCTAACTTTAACTCCAGAATGGAGACCAGATGGTGAACAGGGCCTCCTTGTCCCTGTTGTGCTCAACATTCACATGGTTTTGTCAGAATGGGGCTATCACCCCTCTCTCTCCTCAGACATGCAGGCCACCCTGACACCAAAGCACCCCCCCCCCTCTGCTTCAAAGACACACACACACACACACACACACACACCCTCGCCTGTAATGTGGCATGGCACCCCAGCAGCTGCAGCTCAAAGCTTTTTTAGTGTGACTGTACAGAGAGGCTGGGCAAAAATTGATTACAATGTGCGTGTGTGTCTGTAGCACGCTGTTCTAATTATATCATCATGGTGAGTGAGAAGAGAGGCAGCTTTCACACACACACACACACACAAACAAACACTCACCAACTGCAGCGAACATATCACTAGCAGCGTGCATCTTCCGTCGCACTTCCCCATCTTGGAGGGCTCAGGACGCGGCTTGGAGCCGCGGAGGCTCCGGGGGAATGACGGGTCCCCGGTCAGATCCAGACTGCCTGGCTGCCTCAGCTCACACCATTCCCGGCTGAACAGACCTGCCCAAGGCCGCCGCCTCCTCCTGTAGCGCTGCTCTGCTCCTTCCTCTCACACCAAGTGACCCATCTTGGCCGCTGGTTTTGTCGGTAAATACCAATCGCGAGGAGGAGCAGGAGGAGGAGGTGGAGGAAGGAGGGGGGGCGTCCACTTCACACCGGCCTGCTGCGGTCCGATCACCACCGACAACCGAATCACCTCGGCCACACCTTCCGGAGAGGGGACACACAAAGACACAAAGAGAGACGGAGAGCTGTCATAATGTGCCCCGGGCTACAGACAGAAATGAGCATCATATGATACCGGATCACACGGAGGTGGAGAGGAGGAGGAGGAGGAGGAGGACCGACCCCGCAGTGTTACTACGGCTAACGTTTGGCTACATGCGATCCGCTACGGACACAAAGCAGCCCGTTGTGACTCACGGTTTTCTATGAACGGAAGAAACCTCGTGCCCCCTCTACACTCCTCCCGACCCTCTCCTCCTCTAACTGCTCAGCAAAGCAAGTTAACGGGCGGATCTCCTCACCAGTACCGGGCTCCGGGATCCGAGCTCCGTCTCGCAGCGTCTTTTGTCAACAATCGGTGCCGGGGCGGGCGCAGGAGGAGCCGGGGGGGAGGCAGAGAGAGACGAGGGGGTGGGGGCTCTCAGTCACCGCGACCCCCTCGAGGAGGAGCTGCATGGATTCTGCAGACTCGCGTGCGTGCGCGCGGCCGAGCGGCAGCCCCGCGAGGCGTTCGAAAAGGAGCACAAAAGAAACGGTGGAGAAGGAGGCTCACACAGGCGAACATAACAGCCTCCAACTAACATCTGAGGGTGGATGGAGGCGGAGGAGAGCAGCCGGCCCCGCGGTGCTGCTGCTCCTCTGCAGCCTGCGGTGTCTCAGAGCGGAGACACAATTAACAGCCTTGTTTAATTAGAGCCACTCACCACGAGCTGTGGACAAAGTGAGGGTCACAATAGATAAGTTATCTGTGATGTAAAGACAGATAGTGACTCCTTATGAGGCTTATCATAAACACATATGACAGTCCATGAAACCATAACATGTCAGGTCTAGTTATAAAAGCTCACACTCAACAAACATATATGATCCTCAAATAAATAAAGTCAAAGCATGTTCTCCTTCATATTTTCATAATGGAGCCCTCTCTGTAGTGTATGGGTGCATTATGAGACAATGGGGGCCTGGGTGCAAAAAGATCCACTGCTGTTGTTTTGTGTCTCTTTGTAGTCACAATGCGCTGTTCTGTAGTTTTATATTGGTGGTAATTTTGCATTTGAACATTTTAAATGTTGTCTAGTTGTTTTTTGTTGCTCTTTGAGGTAATTGTGTGTCTTTATTGATTGTTTTGCCCCTTTTTGTAGGTATTTTGTGTCTCTTTGCAGCCCATTTGCATCTCTTTATGATCATTTTGAGTCTCTGTCTGGTTGGTAAGTGTTACATTGAGATGCTTAGTCCATTTCTGCTGTTGTTTTGTGTCTCTTTGTAGTCATAATGCATCTTTCTGTGGTTCTATATCTGTGGTAATTTTGAGTGACATTTTGCAGGTGAAGCCAGAGGGCCTCTGACACTTTGAGCCCATCCAGTGATCCATTCATGACTATAACTGCACTATAACTGTATTCTCGTCTGTTTAGTCCACCTGTATTTATCTATTTATAAAATTTCTCTCTTAATGTATCATTTTGTCATGTTGATCTGTTCTGTACACAGAGGGATCCGTCCTCAGTTGCTCCTCTGTAAGTTTCTACCATGTTTTTCCCTGTAAAGTTTTTTTGGGGGAGTGTTTCCATATCCGCTGTGAGGGTCCAAGGACAGAGGGATGTCATATGCTGTAAAGCCCTCTGAGGCAAATTGAGTTTTTGATGTTGGGCTTTATAAATAAAAATTTGAGTTTTAACTAATTTTTTTCCCCTTTGCGCTTCCTTTTTGTTCTGATGCATTTCTTCACCCGATGTACAGCAGTTTGAATTGGCTCAAAAATATTTCACTCTCATAGATGAAGTGACCCATAATCAAAGCCCCACTTAGCTAAGTGAACCCATGTTCTTTGTGTAATTAGACTGGAGTAAAAAAAAAAAAAAAAAAAAAAGCATGAATAGCTGCAGTCACATGCCAGTAACTCTATATAGTGCTAATTAAATGACCTAATTAATTATTACTAGATAGACTCATCCAGAGTGGGAAGAAAACTCCTGCTCCACAAGAGGCAATACTAAGATGGAGAAAAAAGACACACCAATAACCGATAACTGAACAATAAGACAATGCAAGATATTAAAAGTGTGTAAACTACATTTTCTATTTAGAATAATAAAAAGTTAATGTAAAAAGCTGCAACAAATATGAAGGAGAATGAGATAAAGTCCAGGATATTATAAAGGGCTGGTTGTGTTGGGAACTGTGAGACAGTCCATGGTTCATTTCAATAAAGTGCAAATACATTAAACGAAAATTCAAATATTTTTCACCTTATTTTCCTTGCATCTCCAGCCAAAGAGACCAACCCAGCATGGCTGCTCCAGATTGGCTAACACAAGCTTTGCCGTCTTTGTGATTTGGTGTCTGAAAATCTATAAAGGTTGCTGCTGCCCACCAGTGATTTCACTGCCCACTGTGACAGTTTTGTGATAATGATTCCTGCTTTTAACAGTTAAATTCCCACACATACAAAATAAATGAGAGGGTCAGGACAAAACATTTTAACTTCTACAGAAAATAGTCCGTTGTCTTTTCTTACATACCGCCTTTGTGTTCAAATTGAAGCTCAATTTTTTTTTCCAAGAGCAGTTTACAAAGTAAAACATAAATTATGATAAACAAAATAATTTCTCCTGCTGTTAAATTTTTTCACAATTTAAGAACTTTGTAGAACATTTTGGGAGAGATTAAGTGTACATTTAAGCGCCATATGTCGAGGAGACTTGAGGAGGGATTAAAGAGACAATAAAAAAAAGTAGAATAGCAGTCAATGAGATTTGCTTGACTGAACATCAGTGTCTTTTGTATCATACCTCCACAGTATGATACCTCCTTAGTATTTCCTCCACTTCACCCAGAATTTAATGAACATTTTTCTCAAATTGAAGAGAAAAAGTAATCTTGTCCATAACATAAATATCATTTACAATATCTACCCACGATCCTCTAATGTCGAGTGTTCAGGAAGCAACCAGTGCCTTGTGAGGGCTTTTGTAAGCATATATCAAAATACCAAACGTATATATTTGCTTTAAAAGCCATACATAATAATTAAATAATATAGAAAACTGCGAAGGAAGATCAGTGTTAAGTATCTTTTTTAGTGCTTTATGAAATTCTGTCCAGAAAGGTCTGATCACTGGACACTCCCAGAATACATGCCAGTGATTGGCTTCCTGAAACCCACGCTGTCTCCAGCACCTGGTGTCCCCTCCGGCGAAATGTGCTTTCTGCTTCGGTGTGATGTAAAAACGAATAAGAGATTTCCACCCAAGCTCAATTTTTTGTCAATATTAATGCGTTAACCTGAAGAGCCCCATATACTGAGCTATATATACTGTGCTCCATATAATTCGACTGTCGAATATAGGTAGCATACTTTCTTTGAGAGAAGTAGTGGATGAATGATATCCAAATATCTTGTTCATTTCTCAACATGTTTTGTTGATAAAACCAGCAGCAGGAACACAGGAAAGCCTCATTATTTCAAAACAATCTCACACTCTTATTCAAGAATACTCAAGTTTATTAAAAAAAAGAAACCAGAATAAAAAACAAGTCATGGAGGTTGTTGTGACTGATAATAAACTTCAAACACACGTCCTGAGGTTGTTCTGTGACAAACTGAATCACATGAAATTACAGAGACTCCTAACCCGCTGCTGAACACCACCCATCCACTTCTGAGGCAGGACATTTGCTTTTACAGGACTCACACGCACACACACTCATCCAAGTTAACACACACTCTCACACTCACACATTGATCCAAGTTAACACACGCGCTCACACACACCCTACTGAATTTCTCCCATGTAGAGCCGCTTATCACTGGAGCCAGACAGCACTGTGTAAAGGGACAAACAGGAAAAAGATGATTAAACTCTTATTGTCAGTCATGTTTTGTAACTAAGCCTCAGGTGAACTAACTCGTCATGTCGAATCAACGAATAGGAAGTAAGAGTGTTTGATGACGACCACGTTCTGGCAAAACCACATGAATATTAAAATGCTCTTGCCTCCAGATCCCCCGGCTCTCTCCTCAAGATAACTGCGTCAAGTATTTCTGTTAAACTCTAACATGCATGACTGAGACCAAAGCTTTCACTCACCTATGGGCTCCTCTGGGTGAAAGGCCACTTCATTGACAGAGCCGGCGTGGCCCGGCAGCTTGTACAGGATTCTGCGTGATGTGGTGTCCCAGATGTACACAAATCTATTAACACAGACAAGTAAACAGCGAGAAGGACTCCTGATGTGAGACGGCACAGAACTGAGACATACAAGACTGAAGGATTACGATACATATTGTGCTGTTTATTTGTATCCTTATGCTCACATAGACCAGAGATTCATAACCTTTTTTTGTCCATTATTGGGACCTCACCTCCCCGTCAATTAAAAAGTAGGCTAATTGTCTTTCTGAATATTAATGCTCATTATTATTGAGTTATATCATTTAAAGGTCCAGTGTGTAGGATTTAGGGGATATACTGAAATGAAACATAATATAAAAGTATGTTTTCTTTAGTGAATAATCACCTGAAAATAAGAATTGCTGTGGTTTCGTTACCTATAATGAGCCATTTATATCTACATAGGGTGCGGACCCTCATCCACAGAGCCTGCCATGTTTCTACAGTAGCCCAGAACGGACAAACCAAACACTGGGTCTAGATTAGGGCATTCGCGTTTTTCGTTAGCCACCATAGTTTCACAACAAGCACTGGCGGAAAAACACTGATTTTAAACCTGAAACTGCTTTATTCAGTGTTTTTACCGATATAAATCACCAGGTCTATTTCTTTTTGGAGAGGACAAGACCTCTGTGGATAATTTAGCTCCTAGTAAAAACCTCCTGAACACTGAAGGAATTCTAACCTGGGGAAGTTTCAGGAGGTTGCAATCTGCAATCTTCGCAACTAGATGGCACTAAATACAATGAATCCAACACTCTGCTCCCTTATTCATTTTGATTTTTGGGTCGTATCATTTAAAAAGCATCTCATTATATGCAAAGTAACAGTTGGAATATCACTATAATTAGTTTCCCAGTAAGCAAAAAAAAGCCACGTCAATAGAACTGATATTTATGAGTGTTAAACAAATGCAATGGATAGAGGTTTGACATTCAAACTTTAATTGTCATTACTGATGATAAACAGCAGCCAATCGGGAGGAAGTTATTTGATGCTAAACAAGAAGCATTCTTGTTATTTGTTCGGGCAGAAAACAAGCAGCCTAGCAAGGAAAAAGCAAAAAAATATGTAGGCTATTCTATAATATAGGCGTATTTATCTTAAAATTTTGAAGCAAATATGCAAAATTGCTTTGAACGTTACTGTGAGCTCTGCACTTGGTGGTTCTCTCAAGTTTTATCACTGCAGGTCAGGGTTAGAAATTAACCTTTTTGTCCACCTGCCTCTGTGGATGGTGGATTCCAAAATCCAAAATGAATCAAATCCAGCAGCCACCTGCATATTTTACCAGCGTTTGGCTGATGGCTGGTGCTAATTCCCCACCCTGCTGCAGGCTACAGAGAAGTTAGTTTCAACCGTAGTAATGTTAGACAAGGGNATGCAAAGTAACAGTTGGAATATCACTATAATTAGTTTCCCAGTAAGCAAAAAAAAGCCACGTCAATAGAACTGATATTTATGAGTGTTAAACAACACATATGGGCATATGGCATATGAAATGGAATTTGCGGGTCCTCCCCAGGGTATGTAATTAACACCTGCAAAACGCAGGTAAATTGTTTGCAGATACATGTAAAATGTAAAATGATGAGGCCACCTGCCACTTTGACGGACAGAGAAAAGGCACAGCAGAAAGACACGTCATACCTGGTTTGTAAAAGCAACATGATGGACCACAGCACCGTTTTGACAGTCGAAGCATACTGAATCCTAACTAATAACAATCAATAAAAAGACGTGCACACACATACCATACACGCCTACTCATTACTGCATCAACTTAACTACCTCATTTGTCAATGTCGTCTGAAGGCATAACTTAAGGTGCAGCGAGTGTGTGCCAGTTGAGCGAGAGAGAGACTGACGGTGACAGTGGATGTGCTCAGAGCAGACAGGTGCAGTGGAGAAATCAGCAGTTAAGTTGTCAAGTG